CCTGGAATTCTGCAGTGAAAACTGTAATAAGGCATTTTAACACAACTACAGTGTTGTAGTCCTAAAAATGGGCTTGTGACTGCCAGTAGAAAGCTGGAAACTGCATGCAAAATCAGCCAGCATGGGCTCTACCTCACCCTTGGTGCATGTCACTGAGGTGCACAGTTAAATGTAGCAAGTGGTTGTACAGCCACGGCCACAAAGGCTGCCTCTGATTTAGCTGCCACCATCTTCTGTTGCCCTTGGAGAATGACAGACTGACATACCAAGAAAAATCACGTAGTTTGGTCCTCAGTATATACCTTCTTCTACAGTATTCTAACACTTACACCAACACCTCATGCTATATTGCAGCTGCTGTATTTAACACAACTGTCACTGATCACTTTGAATTTATCTTGAGGTAGTATAAACTCTCTATTGGAGTATCCCATATGCATAGCCAGGCATCATCCAAAACTAATTATCTCTGCATGTAAGGTAGTGGACACCATCCTAAACTTTGAATCAGAACATTTCTAAAACGAGAGGTATCTACATGAAAAATTTCCAAGAGAATTCAGGCTAGACCCAGAAATCCCAGTGATACTCAAGGAGCACATCCCAGCCTGACTTGTAGGCAGAGTCGATACAGCAGCTAAGGAAAAGAGAGTGGACTAATTTTCAGAAGTGCTGAGCACCTTCAATTCCTGTTGACTTCAATCCCATGTCAATTTCAGTAATAGCTCTGAGTGCTTACCATATGTAGGAAAACTGCAAATCCATTTATTGAGCACATTACTTCTGAGTATTTTAAAATACTTCACAAAGAGACAAGGAAAGGTCAAGTAATTTTCTCAAAGCCATAGCCCAATTCTGTGACAGAGCCAGGAATAGAAACCAAATATGCCAATCCAGTCCCCAATTATTGCAAATAGCTCACACCTCCTCTCCTACGCACTGTGGCAGTCAGTAGTGTCTCCTTTGTAACATGTTTATACAATCACATTGTCACATTCTATTATACCTGATATGCCGGTGCCCATGTACTGAAAGCACTGTTATTTATGATTAATTATTAAGCATCTCCATCTTTAACATCCATAAAGTTTTTATACAGCAGAGGCTTTTCAGCTGTAATAATAGTTTATGTGGCTGCTGAATATCTGCTGTTTAGAGTTAGCAGTTGTCACTGAACAATAATTTATAGGAGAAAATAAGTTTCATAAAAGCCTTTGAATGTGCTGTCATAAATTGGCAATCTGAACCCTTCGATTTCTACATGGCAGGTTTGCACACACACACATCCCACACAGGCAAAGGACGTAGAGTCTCATCCTCTTATGCAACAGTATTAGCAACATCCTGTACACAGAGTTCTGGCTCACAAAGGAAAAAGAGCATGACCGACAGAAAAGTCCTGCCATAGTCAGTAGTTCCTACAGAACCCAACGCAGCAGGCTGTACTCAAAGGCAAACAGTGACCTTTAAAAAAACCACTCCTCTTGCAATGACAAATTAGCTCTCACCATTACTGGGATCCTCACCCTCTGGTGATTTATGATCAGAATCATGCCAGGTGCTAGCCTATTACAAGTAAGTAACAGTATTAATTTATATGGCTTAGAACATAAAAAAAAACACTTTTTAGTTATCTCTGAGTCTAAAAGCAATATACAAAGGTAGACTCTGGACGTGGCAGTTGGCCAAACCCTTGAACTAATGGAAACGGATGTAGCTTCATCAACATATGGGAAGTACAAGGCTACGTCAACATTGGCATGATCATGCGCAAATACTCTTTAACGCAAGAGTTCTTGCGTTAAAGTATTTGTGCAAGAGAGTGTCTACACTGACATGTGCCTTTGCGCAAGAGATGTACTTTTGTGCAAGAGCATCCGTGCCAGTGTAGATGCTCTTGCACAAGAGAGC